TTAAAATAGATAATTTAAAGAATAACCTACAATTAACTTGATTTGTTCCATGAAGAATCATATATATTATAACATATAATATTACGAAACCAAGTTACGATCGCCCCCCCTACCCCCCGGACCTTTTTTTTATCAACTGTTAGATATGTTTTGTACGTAAGCAACGATAAACCATTGCTTACGGGAAAATGATTCGGAGCAAAGTTCAGTTGATAGTGATGCTTTGCAAACAATAAATGTGTCATGTAGTAAAATAATTTAATAGACATTATATATTTTCTTTATTAATATTTATTTAATATTATACCGATTTTCCCGTTTTTCCTGATTTTTCACATTTAAAAATTCTTGGAAATATCGAAAAATGACTTCCCTAAAGTACTTCTCCAATCAGATTTTCTTTCAGAAAAAGTGCTATCATTGTAAATCGAGGAAAATTTATTGCTGAAAGAAAAATTGTTCACAGAAAAAAATAATCGTAATATTTTACTAATATAATTCGTACATTTTCCCGTTTTTTAACATAAGTTGAGAAAACTCCGGAGACGATCGAAAAATTACCTGTTTAAAGCACCTCTCAAACAAAATTTCAAAAAGTTGCTACATCGTATATAATGAAGCAAGATCTCTGGTAGAAAATATGTCCACAGATAAAACAGTTGTAAAACCATAAGTTTCATCGCTCCACTCAGAATCTAAAATTAAAGTTATGTATAATTTATGATAGAACTACAGTAAAATTTTATCCTTTATTTAATATATGTCATTATGGTATGGGGTCCACCAAACATAAAATCACCTCTCTCTTGATTTTTTATGAAAACCGCCACTATAAGCAACTTATCCGAAAACACGGTCGTCTTCTTTACCACCCAAAAAAAGTTTACCATCCCCACAACACCCCTCTACCGAATCCAAGGGGGCGTTTTCACTCCCGTTGAAAACCATTGATTTATACTAATACGGGTTTTTACGAAACCCGCCCCAATAGTTAATAATACTTATTAGAAACACAGCAGTACCTACCTACTACCTATAAATTATGTCCGAGTGCACACCAGTGAAAATAATATTTCAAAAAACTTATATAAAATAACGTCCGCGGAGTTGGCCCCTCCCCACATAAACCAATCAGTTTTAAACCGGTGTCATAGTTTTGCAACTATGTTAAGAAATTATATTTCTATGATGTCTATGGTCGTGACCAGTGCTACCTATTGGGGATACGCACCGCCGAACGAAAACTAGTCACGATAGCGATATGTTTTCTTTTGAAACAGGGTATAGATCTGATCTATAAGACTATAATTCCAGTGCAGTGAAGTAATTAAAACTCTTAATACCCGTGGAAAAATATCTCGCCACGTAGAGGTAGAGAGCGCTACGGCAGCGCCCGAAACAACTACAAAAAACTACGAAAAAAAAAAAATGCTATGCTGAATTTTGTTATTTTATTCTATATTTTAAAAATGTAGCATATTATTAAAAAAAGGTTACTGTGTATCATGAGTCCGCGGCTCATTACCTGTCACGCCACTGCTCCAGTGCAGACATCAACACACAATAATGCACAATTGTTTTAAAAATGTAATTGAAACGCATAAAAACAAAAGATTATGACAAGTAAGTAAATAAATAATTTACAACTATATGAATACCTATGTATAATTGGTGGTAGTTCTACCAATGAACATTATTGATTCCGGCGAAAGTATGAGGTTTCAAAAAGTTGAAAATTAGTTGCAAAATAATGGCACAGGTTTGGAATTGATCGGACAAAGTGGGGGGGGGGCTACATGAATTTGGCACACCAATGAAAACTATTGAAAACAATTGATTCTGGCGAAAGTATGAGGTCGCACATTTTTTTAAGAAGTTTATAAAAAGTTGCAAGAATATGATATCGATTTGAAACCGATCGGTTTAGAGGGGTGGCGAGGAACTTCACGGGCGTAAATAACACTTTTTTTAATTCGAATGCAGCTCGATCTTACCCACTACTTTACTACTTTAGTAGGTAGGTAAGTAACATAGACACCATGGCTCCACGGCCAGTTTTCTTATAAATGTTATTGTTCGAAATACTCGACCGAAAAAATGCTTTCGATCGACCACCGCCGCCGCCGATTTCGACACGGCACATTCGAATAGAGTCCAAAAAAAAATGATAACATTAACTTCTATAAAGGAGTTAATATTAGGCTAATTTGTACAGTTTCATACGTGGTTTTTAAAACAATCATATAATAATTTCACGATCTCCCATTATAATTTTAATACCCAAGTTAAAATTTAAGTACACGTCTATTAGTTTTTAACTATGGATATCACAGTGTAGGTAAGTGTAATTGATATGATATCTAGGTAATTATATGTTAACACGGGCAAAATTAATTTCAAACAATATCGGCTATATTGTAAGCAAGGTTAGGTTAAATTGTAAGTACCTAAGGTGTATTGAAGAATATTCGTATAAATTATTACTTACTATATGGGATTGGTATACTTTTAACCACGGTTTAAGATATACTTAAATATCTTGTTGCAGTAGAAAATAAAACTTATATGAATATTGTAAAATATTTGATAATATTTTATCATTTTTTTTAATAATATAGTTTTAATAATAAGGTAAATAATACCTTTACAAAGTTCATATTGAATTTAAACTAGTATTAAAATTGAATATTATTTCACATTTAATTTTAATTTTAAATTAAATTATTAAAAAATGAAAATTTAAATACTAATTTAATTTATTATTAAAATGAAATCAATAAAATGACGTTACCAACTATAACCAGCATGTTCAAAAGTTGAATTTATTCAACTCTGCGGTATCCGCGGTAACGTCTTGGTAAAAACGATCAAACTGTATCTACCAAGATAATATGACCGACATCAGAAACGAGTATTTCACACGAACCGAAACGACACGGTGATTTGAGGACTCCCTTCAATTACTCCATGGTAACCAAATGGTCGAAAGTTTAGTTAAATAAATTTAACTATGCGGTTTCGTTTGGTTATTGTGGTATCGCGTGATAAAATATCGATATACTTACCATATGGTGAAAACGTACAGGACCACAGAAAAGACGGTAATATCGAACTAATGTCGAAAATAATTTTGAAAATTAAAATAGTAAAATGCGTTATATAATTGTCATTGGTTGACATCCACGTGTTAATAAAAATTATTTCAGATTGTGCCGTCCCCCTGTTCCAGTAAAAGAGTGTGGTCGGAGTACGCGAAAAGTAAAAAGAAAATATTAGAGAAGTCCCGTGCCCCCGCGCACCCCACCAATTCGAGCACCGGCTATGGGATAACGTTACACGGGTAGTTTTCTTTACCATCCGCGATGCACGCAAACCGATGTGCGTTCATCGGTAATATATTGTGCCGTTACTTATTTAGCAGTAACCATAAACCGTCCGCCGTGACACGTCAGTGGTGTAGTCGAGCGTGTGTACGCGGTTAGGTGCATACCTTGGTACTTCTCACAATGCGTCACGCGCGTGCTCAAAAATGTTTTACTTGAAACGCGGATAATCGTTCACAGACACTCGTGTTATTATTCGCGTATTATAGGCGCATACGTCTTGTTCGTTATTAATTACTATTTAAACATCGTATATCGATACGTCTTGTCGCGATTTAACGGTGTACCACCTATGGAAACGGACTTTTTTTTGCTCCAACCTGTTGGCGACGACTGGGGCTCGGAACTCGGTGCTCTTTTAAAAGTACCCTCTCGTTACGCATTCGCACTCGTTATGCGTTTAACAAAATACCTACAAATATGCGCTTATACTTTTTGTTTTTTTACACTAATATGTCCACTAGGGACTTCTGTTGATGTATACTTTTTCAAAAATAATTTTAATTGAGGGAAAAAAAAAAATGTTGTGAATAGATGTTTGCCGATAATAAAACTTTACACAAATCTTATGAAAACAAACCCCTTTTGAAACATTAGTAATTACATAGCTGCTGAACTTTAGTGTTTTTGTTCTTTACATTTTTCCCTATAACTTCTAGTTTGTTTTTCAAAATTAACGTGCCTAGTCAAAACAAATTTTCTGTCACTTTTACCCTTACCTCATGTAACTTACTAAAAAGAAATATTTCTGTCGGTACTAAATATATTCGTAAAAATATATACAATTAAAAGCAAGAAATTAGGTCTTCGATGCAACTTATAAAACCAAATAAACAAAAAAAAAATTTAACTTCGTTTGACAAAACCTGGTCAGGTAAGTAATTAGGAAAAAAATTAATAAAAAAAAAAAGGAACTAAGCATTTACTGAGCACAATGAGCTAAATCATAAAACCAACCAACAAACTTTATATCATTAATTTATCTACCTTAGCATTTTCCACTTCATACAGTTATAAGGAACCAGGAGGATAGTGTCTTAAGTGTAAACCTAGCCCTCATTATGCCGATGTGAGACCAGAACTTCAGTGACCTGCATTTACTCCCTTCATAACTAAATAAAAAATAATGCTTTTAGTCCCAACCTTAACGTTTTTTGCCATAACTTTTTTAATAACGATTTCCCTAAAATAAAAATTCTAACACTTTCAAAACCATCATCAAAAATATGTATTTTCAAGAAAAAAAAATTTTAAAATATATTAAGAGCGTCATAAAGTTCACTTTAGCCCAAGACAAACCTACAAAGGTTGATCATTATTGTTTAATTACTACTTAGCTAATAATTTATAAAGTAAATTTTGTTTTGTTCATTGACATATCTATAATGTGTATAATATACACATTACGAACTGTATATATAAGTAGTAAACAACAAGGTAGAAAAACCATAAGTATAAACTTAACTAAAATCAGTACTTAATTAAGGCCATTAAATTTATTTACCCTGTGGGAACCTATTGATTTCTGACTTATTTAAAAATAATAAATAAAGAACATAATATAAACAATCATAAACATTATAAAAAAATAATGATATTAAAAATATAATGAAAAATAATACGAAAAAACATAATCATATAAGTTATATAACATTCTTGCTGGTACATTATAAACTATTTTAACGCAAATATAATATTATTATACAGAATATTATTTTTCTTACAGATACTTTAACAAACATATTTAAAATACCATAAAGAAAAATATAAAAATACACATATCATAATAAGTAAATGTAGGATTAATAATAATCTACACAATATATATTGTTTGATATTATTAATTTATCAAAGAACGTTAAATGATAAAATTAGATTTTAAAATTAAAAATTGTACAGTTGTATAGTGTTGGCAATGCTAATAATAAAAATCTGTATTGTTACAAACTATAACAATTATCACATGTTACTTTTTGAACTATTATAATCAATGTTCACAATAGTTACAAATTATATTTAATTAACTGGTTTGGTTATTGTTTGAAATTAATAATTTGTCTGTTTGATTTATTTTTTTTATCTGAATAAACCCTAAGTTACTTTTATAGTGAATAAATAAAATATAAGAAAATAATATTTTTATTAAAAAATAAATTTCAAGTTGTGATTATTTAAAAGTCAATTAAAAATAAAATAAAATTTAAAAAAACCAGCATTCATTTTTTAAGCTTTTATTAGCTGATTAAACAATATGATTTTGCACAGTTGTTCTAGTTGATTCTGTGTTGTTACCAAGTTCTTCAGATATAATGTCCCTGGAATCTGAAATAAAAATAAATATTTAGTACATAATACGTTTAAATGGATTCAATTTCATTAAATTTACCTCTCACTGGTAGATTTTCAAAGCCTGATAACCTCGATTCTGGTGGATCGTATAGATTTTGATAATCTGATAACATAGAGTCTAAAGAATCTGTTTGGGATGACACTGTATCATAGTCTGTATTTGCCACATTTATCGATGACAGAACTGGTGGATGCACAGGAACTGTGTTTGAAGCCCTACCTCGAGCAAACACACGTCCCTACAAAAACACAGACTTAGATAAATGAAACAAAGTAAATTAATTAAAATTTACTAACTCTGAAACTGCGGAATGTACCAACACCCAATGTATTTGAGTTGTTAATACGAGATGAAACTAATGGCGTTCTATCATTTGGTTCATCACTATCAGTATCAGAGGAATATGCTACAGCGTGTAAATCGTCATTGTTGCCATAAACTCGACGTTTACAAATAGGACAAAAACGTCGATTTCGTGTTAACCACGGATCAATACATTTACAATGATAAGCTACAAATATATTTTTTAATTAATTGTATTACAGATAACCACAAAAAACAAAGAAATATAATATTTACCATGGGCACAAGGTAAAATACGTAATTTTTCTCCTTCCATATAATCATCTAAACATATGGCACATGTATCATATGGATCGCCTTTCACAAATGTTGAAATTGGAATTTTGCGAAGAGTGGATGCAGGCAAGCGATGTCTAAATGCTCTCCTTCTATCTTTTATCCATTTGACTAGCTGGAAAATATTCATACTTTTATTAGTAAATATTTAGTATAATCATAAGGTTTTCTTTTTTTGAATATAATATTTTTGAATGTCCTTTCAAATTTTTTTTTAAAAAATATGTATTTTCATTAAGTATCTAAAAAAATTGTTAATATATTTTTCAGTTTATGTAATCAGGAATCTGAAAACAGGCATTGAACTTTTATTAACAAAACTATATACTTCAATAAATAAATACTTAGTTTATTATCATCATAGAAAAACAAAATTACAAGATAACATTAACTTCAATATCTAAAAAAATAAAAAAATTTTCTTAAATCCCAAAATTTTGCATGCAAAATATAGAAATAAATAAATAGGCATTGCAAGAACTTTTGTTTGAATTTGATTTAAATTTAGATTCCATTTAAATTAGTATTTTATTTACAATGACTCCATTTTACATATCCTACTAATGTTTTTTATAGTTTAAAATATAATAACCAAATGATGAAATAGGAAGTAAAGAGTAGTAAAATATGATTATTATAGATTTTTAATAGAGAATTTTTTTATTGTACTCTTGTAATTTAATTTATGTATTCATTTTAATACATAAAATATATTACCATAAACCCAAGCATTGCGAAGAAACATACTGCCACAATTACAGCAAATGGAAACAATAAATTCAAGTTTATATCAAATGGGAATGAATTGTTGTCTACGACCACAAAGTAGCTAAAAAAAATAGCAATAATAAAAATACTATTATTATTTAGTAATTATAATATTAAAGTGAAAATACTGATTTATTTTTTTCAAACTTATTTTAACTATATAACCATTACCCGTTTTGATAATCATAGGAATCCTTCAACATTAGACCATTTTGTATTCCAACCATAACTGATGGAATGAATATATCACTAGTATTGGAACCACCCATTCGCCCTAATTTACAAATAAGTTATCAATTATACAAATTATAAAATTTACAATTCAATTGTAACCACTAAAATAACAGTTATAGAATATCCATAATATTATATACATATATAAATATATATAAAATTGTTTACACTAGCCATTAGGAGTAATTTTAATGATTGAATTATTCTTAAAATATCTTCTCCTTCTGACTGACTTCAACTACAATCTGATCTCGACTATTTTTGTGGGTGGACCCAGTGTGTAGGTCTATCTCTTAATCTTATTAAATATTATGACTTTTAGTAGAAAGTGTTTTTCTTTGGTCTAAGACTATGGTAAAGCTGTGTGGTATCTTTTTTTAGCCAAGAGGCCAACTTTGTATTGAGTGGATTCAACCGATTTCTTTCACACGCTGCTTTTGTTCTCAACCCACCTCATGACTACTCTTCAATTAACTAATTTTTAATTTTATCTCCTCTTTTTTTTTTTTAATAATTTAATTGATGACCCTGATCTATTTCTTTTTGTGTCCCTGTTTATTCAACAAGAGACCACTCATTGTTCCACATCTCTTCTCACCGTACAAATTAAAACCACAACTATTCGATTCACACAATGCTACATCTACATAACTCTCTTTAACCCCTACCTCAGATTTATTAGCCACATTTGCACTATAACTTGCTACTAATATGTATCATAATAATATCACTAATAATATCATTATCTATTTTTTTTTTGTTCTCATTATATTGTTATGATTCATTTGTTAAAATTGTAGTAACTGTTCAATTTTACTAAACTATGTAACTGCCGAACTGGCTTTAATTAAATAAATAAATTATTGGGCGTTATTTTACACTTTTAATGTAATAATAGACATTTTGAATGTCAAAATAAATGTTGAAATTTCAAAATTTGATTATTTGCCTGATGGGATAATATAATAGTGTGCAGTTTATTACCATACATATGCCTCAGTTATAATTTAACTAGGAAATTGAATAAAATTAATAATACAAAATATCTTAAGTCTTAATAATGTAGTAGGTATCAATAAAATATCTTGTATATTATATATATATTTTAAATGAATAACTATAGATAGAAAGCTCAGAACTATTTCATATAAATTTAATTATATTGATAAAAATAATATAGAAAAATCCAAGAAAATCCAATTACTTACAAGTTTCAGTAGAGTTGTTGTATATAATGGCCAATGTATAATTACTCTTTTGGGCATTACGGACTTTTACATCAAAATTACAATTTCCTCTTTTGATCAATACAATCCAACTTCTAATTCCCAATACTTTAGGTGGCGGAAGTATTTGGTTGCAACCATCTTCAGGAATAGCACTTATAACAGAACCCTTTAACGATATTAAATTAAAATATTAATTTACATATTAAGATATTTTTAATCAAAAGTTAAAATACTTTAATGCCATCAATTGGAATATCTCTTCCAAAATCAGATGCAGTATCTTTAAGCTCTCCTACCATCTGATCCCTGAATCTGGTGTATACATAAATATCACACCTTACTGTAGTCATTAAGGCTGTTAAGGCAATTAAGGCAATTAAGGCAATAAATGCCTTTGCCTTTCTTAACATGATTGACAGTAAATATACAACATCTGATATTCAACTAAAAAAAAAAAAGTGTGAACAAAATTAAAATATAAAAATACAGTGGAAATTGAATAAAATAAGATTTGTGCTACAAATATAATGGGCGTCCCAAGAAGGTAAACCCATACCCATTGTAATATCTCCAGAGATAATAAAAATAAAGAGTTCTTTTCTCTGGGCTTTAAACAATTATTAAAAATCACAAATTTAATGAAAATAAAAATTTGCAATGCCCAAAATTTTCAGAAGAATACATACACTCTAAAAAATGGCTTTTAAAAATAATAAAATAAAGTTATTATTTTACCAAAAAATAAAAATTGAATTCAAATATAAATTTGTAGTCTTTATCCCTGAGAGTAATATATATATATAAAAAGAAAACAGAATTTGATTATCTTTTTTATCTCCAGAGATATTACAATAGGTATATTTCCGTGGGACACTCTATATGTTAATATTTGTCCAATGCCCGTACACATTATTAATAAATAAATAAATAATTAATTAAATACAATAATATTGATATTATTTATATTCAATTTTTCAGCTTATATGTTTGTATTATATTATTTATTGGCCATGTAAAGAATTAGTATCTTACTTAATTTAATATTTAAATAAATATGTAGTTAATAAATCCATGTATCATTCAGTTATCCAATTTAACCACCAATACTACTACAACTAAGAATTTTCAATCACATGATTTGATATTTTGAAAAATAATGTTAAAATTATATATTATTAGTTATCACTCAGTATTCAGTGTTCATTAATAAAATAGGATAATTTATGTAAAAATATGATTAACTAGGTAGTAAATAAAATATTTTTCATCAGTTATTATATTAAAATTATTATTAGATGTTAGATGTGCAATTATTATATAAACATTTTAAATTTTTAATAAAAAAACGTGGAACTATATTTTTAGATTGGCATTTTTTAAAAACAGTATATGACAACATTTCTATGAATGATTAACATTTTTATTCCATATTCCTTTCATTGATATTAATTTAAATTGTCGTTAGATTAAAAGCAACAATAAGTTATATATGTAGCATAATATAACCAATAGGTTTTAATTAAATTGACAGAAGGAACTAAACCAAAATATTATATCAAATTCTGTGGTAAACTTACTTGATTTTTTTTTTTTTCTTAAATTTTCTAGTAAATTAAAAAGAATTATAAATCAACATAAAAGTGTTTTTATATAAATTATTAACGCCAATAACATAACAAACCGGAAGAAAATAAAATGGTTTTTATTTACTACTTATAGGTATAATAATTTTTATCGTGTTTTTCTGATTAAATATCATTAATATTTAACTTTTACTTTGATTAGATTTTGTGTGAGGGGACATTTTAATTTTCATACCTTAATCACTAGAAATAAATAATTTTATATTTGTTCAATATTTAAAATAACTACATCTTAAAAGATATTACTATAAAAATCTTACATATCCGATGAATAATTTCATAGTAATAGCAAGTTTAATTTATAAAGAAGTGATAAAATGGAAAATATTATCTCAATATCTGTTGATTTAAACAATTTTTTTTTCAATCTACTAATATTAAAGAATAAAACAAATTTATAGTGCAAATACTTATTTAGTTCAAAATCAAAATATTTAAAACCATTATGTTCATTAATGTTCAGTGTAATATTGAAATAATTTATTGTAACCAAATGTAATAATTTTATTGTTATCTTCATCTGCTGTTTGTCGTACTATGTTAAGTTAATTTATGTTTACACTATCTTGTAGTAAGGACACATGCTCATTTATTCATTTAAAATAATATAATAGATAACGTCTTACTATTATGCAATGTATTATAATAAAAATAAAAAGTATTTGTTTAAGAAATAATTTACAAAATTACTTAAAACATTGATTCAATTTTAAAGATAACATATATTAAATAGTTTACTTACATGATAAAAATAAAAATATAAATTTTGTTACAAATAATAAACTCATATATTTTTATTTATACAATTTGTACTTTCACATTTGAAAAGTAATGTATGAAGTTGTTTAAGCAATTAAATATGAAATATATTAGATTAGTAATAATAAGTAAGGCAGGTGAATATTGTAAGATGTTTAATATTCTATCAAATTTGGACACTATTAAAATGATTTTGGCTAGGTATGACACTGGTTAGATTTAATAGTATTACTCGGGGAAAAATCTAAAATGCTATTTTTACTAAATGCTACTTAAATATAGGATTTTTTAAAAATAAAAACTAGATAACTTAAAGCTGGTGGTATATAGAATTGACTCATCAGTATTCGGTATGTGTTGACATAAGTTTTTTTTTTTGTTTACTGGTATTTTTCGATAAATACCTTTTATTAAAAGAGGAGTTCAAAAATTACAGATTGGTATCATATCTTGTTTACTAGATGGTATATAGATACATAGTATGTAAAATGGATCAAGACATACAGAACTAGACCACAGTCTTGAACAGTTGGAGGACCGCCCTAACTTATCCTTGTTTATAAAATATTATAGGCAAAGTACAGAGTACAATAATTTATTTTGTGTATTATAAAATTAAAATGGACGTACTAATATTTATAACTTATAATTCAGTATTAATTCCTTTCATTAATTATTCTGAATTATCTTCTTTGTAGTTATTGGTTTATCAGTAGTTACTGAAACTCCAAAACTATAGTTGTGAAGAAACTATTACACTGGTGTCGTGATCCTATAAATCGTATCAGGATACTATAAAATAAAAAAATAGTTTAAAATATTTGACTATTTCACACTGCGGTAAGGGGCTTAATGACTTATGAAATCGTTTTATCTAAACAATTTTATTAAATTTAATGAATAACTAGAAAATTCTAGACAAGAACTAGATATACTGTCTAAACAAAATACAATGACAAACAACACCTTTATCAGTTTGCCAAAACTACTGTAGTTATCAGTTTAAATGTGATCAACAAAACTACGGTAATAATATATTTCGGAATTCACCCAAATTACAGTAGTTACCGAATGAATAGTATACCAGTATAATCTTAGAGCCAGTATAACTCACAAAATTAATACATAATATAATAAGAACACTACTTTTAATTTGATACTGAAATAATAAAATTAATGTTATTCATTCTGAATTACGTTGAAACCTAATTTATAATTAACATACATAATTTCTCTGAGATAAATATTAAGTGTTCCTAGTTAATAAGAAACATCAAATTTAAATATTGAATCAATATATACACACATATAATATGCAAAGAAAAAACTGCAAACTTAACATAGAACTTTAAAATTGTAGGTATGTATATAATTTGTCAACAACAACAAAAACCAAGACGTCGTAATTTACAAAGGTTAAAAGAATCTATAAAATATAGCAAAGGTCAACTAAATAAACAATTGAAGACAAATTAAAAATCAATCACAAGTATTTTATCAGAACTCATTTTTAAATATAGATATTTATGTTTGATAGGTATGCCTGACAAATTTAAAAGAGCAATATTTATAATACAGTAGACACTGTTTATAATGATCTTAAATATAAGGGTCTAGTAAAACTTCTCTATTATATATACTAATTTGGATAGATTATTAGAAATAACTGCATAGTTTTTGTACAAACAAGGTATAAACTAAGATAACATATTTTTTTTAATATAATGTAATTTAATTTTAAAATAATGAAACAACTTTAGATTCTGAATAGAGCGAGTGAATAACTTGTCTTCCCGAAATTTTCTCAGATTTAAAATATATTAGTTTTACTGAAAGGAAATCTGACTGGGGTAGTACTTTAGAGAGGTCATTTTTTTGATTTCCCCCTTGTTTTCATAATAAATGGGGAAAACCGGGAAAATGTACGAAATGTATTATTTGCAAATTTTCAATATTACAGACTTTCAAAACATATACTTTTGGCCTGGCTCTGCTCAGAATCGTTTTATATTAGAAATTATTAACTAATTATTATCTTTGCATACAAGTATACATTCAATTTCTCCTGTATCTATGTATTTACGTAAACATTTAGTGATAAAAATATGGCACATTGGTTGTAATACAATATTATATTCATATAAATAAATAATATACATATACATAATCAATTTTTAAAATTATTTTTTACTATAATAACATTTTTAACTAGTTCCTTGGATGTCATTATAAACGGTTTCTACTGTACTTATATACATAATTATTTGTAGCAATTAAGTATATTTAAACAGTAAATAAGTAAATGGTAGTCAACAACTAGTAAAGATATTCTAGTCTTCTAATAAATGTTGTATAACTTACCTAAATTTGATTTTAGCGAGGTTTTTAAATAATCAGAACATTATTATAACTATGTAGGTGCATTCAAATTTAAAAAAAATGTACCTATAGTTATAGGTATGATGATTGTATTTTTATTGTAATTTAAAATAATAATGAAACAATTTTTTTCAAAGCAACCCAAATATTATATGACAAAAATTAAACAACTATTATATTACACTTTTCTTTTATACATAAAATGTCATTTTTACATTATGAAATAAGTAGTTTGTATGTTATCCATTACCTTGTTTTTGTTGTTTTGCAAAGTTCAAACTAACAATAATTGTCTATGTTTAATCTGTTTTTAACACAATGGGTATGTTTGGAGTAGCTAATAAAACCTAATTACCAAAAGTAATCAATGTTATCAAAATATACGATACATTGAAATACCTAACCATAAAAGAAAAAATACAAACAATTATTATACTAATACTATAAGATCATAGGTATAAGGTTTACCAAATTAATATTACCCGCCAATATTATTTACAAAACGTTAATTAGTACACGTGTTGTATTAACTAAAGTACTTATTCAATAAATTACATGAATCACTGAGTTAACAAGAAAGAAATCAATTTAAAAATATGTATTACCGACACCTAACTAAATAAAATTTAAAGTTAATAATACTTCAGTCTTTGTTACCATACCAAGTATTAAAAGTATTTGAAACTTGTTACGAGTAGTTTAGTAGACATTAGATATTAGAATCAACAATATTATTTACCTATTTGGTAGTCGATTATTAAAGGAATTCACTGTGCGAGATATTTGACAAAGGACAAATAATAAAACATGTATATATGACTTTTTGAATCGATCATGTTCTGTAAAAACATGCAATACACAAATATTGAATATTTCCCGAGAGAAAAATGGACGAGTATAAAGGGAAAATGCGAAACGTCTTTTCGACCAAAGGTCTTCCCGTCAACGGCACAGTGACGCACAAAGGCACCGGACACGGTCGAGCTTTGACAGCAAAACGGGTTGGTATTGACAAGTCGGAAGAACAATTATACTGACCTTGACGTCTAACTCGAGGTTCCGAGGAGTCACTGGGACTATGGATCGTTGCAGCACCGCCTTACGGTTTGTCAACGAATATAATGGCCGGCGGCGCGCAATAATACGATCACGGTAGACGCGCCTACGACGAGACGTTCGGAGAAAAGCGCCATGGTGGAAAATCGAATCGAAAAAGGTCTGAGGAACGACGAGAACGGTCGAATAACCAGAAATCAGAACGGGTGATAACGTCGCACAAAGCAATCGTCGATAAGGTATTGAAACGCAAAACGTAAACGAGGAAAACAAGAGGTACACACACAATGACAGCACAAACGCTAACGCACTGCTCGTCTCACTACGCGCTACGCACGGCACAACACATTATCATGTATTCATGTGCAGTACAGGCTGGCCGCGACGTTGACGAGTAATAATTGTGCAACGATAGATTTCAAAACGAATTCCGAATTTTCAACACGAACTCACGTGCCCGATGCCCCGAAAAGCACGTGCTGTTTCGAAAATGTGAAGTGTTATGTTGGTCATTGGTCGTTGGTCAATACCTAAATTATGCCGAAAGGGAATCGAGGGTAAAATGTATCCCTTGCCGTAGGAAAAAAAGGCCCTATCCACCTATTGTAAATTAATATTCAAATAGATAATTTATAAAACAAAAATATATCTCCGTATTGAAGTGAATAATAATATAATGTAGGTGTACTTTTATTGGAAATCATTAAAACACGAACTAATAAGATATGGAGTAAAGACTGGACACGAGTGTCCAGTGGGCGGATGGTAGAGGCACAGTCATGAGTTGTTAAAGACACGGACGTTTGCGTCCTTTCTGGACAATCTACTTACTTTGCGATAGGTCAAGTGTCCAGCGGATTTTATCGAGAAAAATTTTAAAAAATCCAGAACAACCTTATGATGACGATTGCATTAACGGTTCGCTGGAGTGAGGTAAAATCGCAAAATTTAGTAACCCCATATACTTACACGATGCATTTCTTAATCGAGTTTAATCGCGCATTTTCAGTGGCAGTTCATCGTCTTATTTTTCTGATTTGTTGCTTTGGATTTCCAATCATTGTGTAACGACTATATTACGCGCACAATGCTATTTTTCAATTTTAAAATTAGATACCTATATATAATAATAGATATTATCAACAAAATATTATTTTCGGCGTCTCAGAATTATTTTATTTACCCGGCGAATTCGTTGAATCTAAAACAAAATAAAAAAAGCTAAAGTTAGTTATTTAGTCATGATAATAAATAATATATCAATAATTGAATCGTTGCACACCTACTACATTACATGATTACTTTATTATTTATAAGGGTATTGCATCCGGTACCTACCTATATTCGATTAACTATGTGGTATTATATTATACGAAATAAAACCAATGTGCCTAATCTTTAAAGCTTATACAGTTTTCTCATCAATTAAATAAAGCCAGTATAGAGTTCCACACAATTGTATAAATTAAAATAGGCATTAGGTATGCGTTATGTATAGATAATATCTATAAATCTTTGATAATTGGGTATTATATTATTTCATTAAAATCCATAAATTGTATTATCTTATCAATTGGTTTAACCAATGACATTATTTATGTTATGATTGTATAGGTAATACTGCATATAACCCTGTGTAAAATCAAACGATAAAATAATATTTATAAATATTATAAATCAACAATATAAGTTCTGCAAAAATGCGGTAAAACCGGTGTCACGGGCATTTCGTACCCAGGAACATCATACCCCCCTCCTGCCGGTATGACTATCATTCCCTGTCGGTAGCATAATGATGCGATATATATACCAATATATCTCTGAATTCGTTTTCCGGGATGTAATTATTCTAACACTATCATACTCCTCGGTACCATAATTCTAGTATTTATATACACCCACCTAAATTGACTATACCTTCCAAAAAGTATGAACTTCTTAGAGCATTTAAGCACCATAAATCGGTGGTGTTTTTCAACGTACCCGTGCGGGATCTTCACTAATGTATATAGATGGGTACCCACCCACTTCTGATTTTTGGATTAATTATATCTTGGCGGGATTAGTGACCACGCCAAATAATTTGACTTGGCACCCCACACAAGTCCTCTCCATAATTTTATACCATAAAATCCCTTCCAAGGGACTTAGCCTGGAATTCATCCGATCGCTAACAAACTTTGGAAACGGTCTCTAGGTCACCTTAAAACCGCTCACTAAATTTAGTGTCAATCAGAAGGGATAAAAAAGGGATGACTGTCTAATACACTCTTATAGAAGAGACTTGTACGGGGATCAAAGTAATTTTTTCGTGTTTTAACTACTCTCTTAAAACAACAAATACTGTGGAGATATACTTGATGTATATCAGATGATGATTGGCGAGATGCCCCGTAGATCATGTTGGGTCATCCCTTTTTTCATCCCTTCCAATTGATACTAAATGTGGTGAAACCATTCTGTCACTAAATATATATCCTAGGATTATGCTACAGGCGGGGTATGATAATCTTAGAATAATCGTACCCGGGGGTATGGTTATTCTGGGGGTACGATTTGCCTGTTACACCAGCTATATTTTATGGTAGGTCGTGGACAAAAAAATAAACACATAATAAGTGTAGCGGAGATGAAAATATTTAATATGGATGAGTGGAGTGACAAGATAATAAAGGATAAGAGGTATGAGTACATAAAAGGTAGCTTAGGTGTTAATAGAATAACAAATTAGAGAAAATAGACAGATGAATTGGACCATGTCATATGGGGAGAGTGGAATCAGGTACAGTAAGAATTGTAATGAAAATAAACGTTGAAGGAAAAAGATTGAAAAACAGATGATTGGATGCTTCTGATAATATGAGGACAGCTAGTGTATGCGAGGTGGGAGATCGGGTCAAGTGAAAGTTTAGAACGAGGGTGGCCGACCCTAAATGTTTGGGATGAAGATGAAAGAAAAGATTTATTAAATCGATATACTTACCTAGTTACTTAGTATATTATATACTATACAAGGGGTAATTCATTTAAGTGTGTACACTCATTATCTCGGAAAGAAATGATAGTTTTTTTTAAAATTCGTTTGTTTTGAAAACAAATGATACCCCATTACTCTCCCCCAACCAAATTTTAAAGTAGAATATCTTGTCGACGGGTTGAAATCAAAAATGTCAACACCATGATTAATTTAATAAGTAACTCTAGTTAGTGCCTAGTTTTGACCTATTCTAAAATCAATGCTATTATACCTATTTTAAATTAAACGTTAAATTGCATTAATCTCATGCGTGGGATACGTGTATATAAGTATGACGTGAATGAGTATAATAATTAATCTGCATTGATAAATAAAACGCCTTTTGTCGACTTATCATATTAGATAGTTACTTGGTACTACCATTGATTATAGAATATTCTAGTTTCGTTACAGCATTCCTTCACCGAGATAACTGATTCCTTGCCCCCCTCCCACGCAAAACTATAAGCTTGTTGCTTATAGCTTGCCTTATTGGTCTTTTGTTTTTGTTTTTTTATTTGCTTATCTATCTTTATACGAGATATTATTATGTAATATTTCAGAAATCTTTTGCTGATGACCTTTTCATTGTTTTATTAACTTAAATATTTTTACTATAGGAATCTTGACTAACTTTAAATCACAAGCCTAATCCGGCCCTGATCATAACTATTCTGATTTTACGTGCAATAATACGTGTCGCTGGATACTGGTGTTATATTTTTATTTTTCATCATTCCGCATTTAAAAACTAATCGCCTCTCAACACCCTCATAAAATCTAACGCCTCCTCGAGAGGACACTTCGGTACCTAGAGGGCAATATCACTTACGTTAAGAATCACTGGTATATTAAATTTCTTTCTGTATTCTACCTTCCCAACTTCCCACCTACAACAGTGGCTACACCCACATGCTAAGTATGTTCGTCTTTTTTGTGTCTATAAACTTTTTTTCTACCAAAAATCCTATTCTCCAATCCAAAGCTTTATAGAATTGTAGTTTTTTTTTATTATTGAGGGTTATTTTTTGATTTTCCTTGAAGTTTTTGATTAGTTAATGGAAAAAAAACTGAGATTTTTTGAATGATTTTTGTTGATTTCTAGGTAAACTTGTCAATAAGCGAAAAATACTCTGCTCGCAATTGCTTTTAGTTAACAATGGTTTATCTTTGCGCATAGATTATAATTAAATTACTCTATAAATCCCCCTTTTCAACTTTTCTCCTAAAAGCAGTGCCTACCTACTAGATAGTTTTTTTTTATGTACGAGACGATAAAAAATACAACTTAACTATACACCTATTATTATAATATTTGATTTCAAAATATGCTTTAACGTTTTTCGTGTGTACGCGATAATCCTTTCGCTCACACGTTGTTTTTTATTGTCATGTTAAATAATTATTTCACAAACATAACCTAACCAGTTTTGGGTTTAATATGTACCTACAATAAGATTATATATGCACACATTTTTTTCTTATTAGAATAATTGTAATCCTCGTTCATAGTTCTAGTGGGTTTGTCAGATAGTTCGTATATTTCATAAGATTTTTTTTTCTTTTGAATTCAATTTTCCAGTCTGTCATTTTAAATATGTATCTATAGGTAAGTATGTATCCATTTAATAAAATATTACGGACTACGGTTTACGTATTTGGTCATAAAAACTGTAATTAACGTCACAGACCTCTCCATAATCAAGTTATCGAAACGTTTATTTATTTATTTAAGTAAATTTATCTTTTATTTGGTTTCATTAATTCATTTAATAGGTAATTTTTTAACCATAATTTACCTACCTGCCTACAAGACTTATGCTTAATACATTTTTCCCATCACTTTAAAGAAATATAATATTATATAGCGCATTTATTTTATCTAATAGATTAAATTTGTTATCGTTTTCCAATTTTAATATTAATATTTTCTACGATAACAAAATATAAAATGTAGGACGGACAACTACGTCATTTCTAAATAGGTTTTATTTTTTATGTATTAATGAACATAATATGATATTATAAAATTAGCTCGCGTTTTAATATTAAATATCTATTACAAAAAGCTCTTAATTAGTCTTAACTCCTTATAAATTAGTTGGATGCAGAGCTAATATTCAATAGAATATGATGAGTTTAAATGTAAGTAATGAAAGTAATAATGTTGTTAATAATGATCCTGAGCATAATTTATTTGACATTTGTTCTATAATGGTGTCAAATGTAAGTGAACGATGTTAACAGCTTAATAATAACAATAAAGGATGGTTTGAAAATATAATATTAATAACTATACTGTTGCGTTTAAATTGAAAATAAGTTCAGATG